GTCCCTATGAGGCAAAATGATGCACAGATGAGGCAATGTTCACAAAGCATTTAGCACAGTGCTTAGCGTGGAGAGGATGCTTACTAAGTGCTTCTTTCCTTCCTTTCTTCCTTTCCTCTTTCCATCTTTCCCTTTTTCTCTCTCTCTTTCCTTCCTTCCCTCCTTCCTTCCTTCTCTCCCACCTTCCTCTTTTCCTTCTTCCTTCTTTCCCTAGCACTTAACGCAGGGCCTCCCAAAGTGAAGCCCATGTCATAAATGCTTTTTGAACTCCTCAATCAAATGTTGTTATCTATGAAAAACCTGAAGACATTTAGTGATGGATTTCTACCTCCTGAAGCAGCCTATTCCCTTTGGGGACAGCAGTACCAATTACAAACATTAATAATAATAATAATAATAATAATAATAATAATAATAATAATAATAATAATAATAATAATAATAAGTGTATATATATCACTTTACAGCTTGCAAAGTGTTTTACATATTTTCTCTTTTGACACTCACAACTGCTCTGTGAGATAGGCGCTATTATTATCCCCATTTTACAGTGGAGGAAACTGAGGCTGAATGAAATTAAATAATCTACCCAAAGTAAACAAAGCCAGTAAGCATCTGAGGCAGAATTTGAACTCAAGTCTGTTGGACTGCCAGTGCTGCGTCCTATTCACTATAACCAGTTGGGTTTTTTTTCTTGAAATTGAGTCAAAATATACATCCTTCTATCTCCTATTTGTTTTTCTTTGGGGCCATTCCGAAGAGGTCAGCTTCTTCCAAATGACCAGCCTCCTTGCTTTGAGTTCACTATCTGCCCCTGATTCTTTATCCATGGCTTCCAGTAGCTTCCTCCTCTGGGAATGCTTCAGAGTGTCAATGTCCTTACTAAAACGTCACACCTGAACTGGACTCAGTACCCTGGATAGGGTTCAGCCCAACAACAGAGATTGTCACCTCCTTTTTCTGGAAATAACTCTAAAGTGCAGCCTATGGGCCATTAGCTTTAGTGTCTGCCTCGTCACATCCTGTCTTATATCGAGACTGATGTCTATGAAAACCTTTGACAGTTTCTCATATTAACTCCTTTATAGGCACCTGCTCCCCCATCCTGTCCTTATGCCATAGATTTTTTGAACCTAAGTGTAGGATGTGGTTCAATAAAATGGTTGAATATAATAAAAATTAAACCAGTAGAGATAAATGTAAAGTCTTTCACTGGGTGCACAAAAGTCCACTTCATAAGTAAAAGAAGTGAGATGGGTGGTTAAATGGCCATGTCAGACACTGGATGAATGAAAAAGATCTGGGGACTTGAGGAGGCTGTCAGCTCACTGTGATTCACTGTCGTCTGGACCAGTGATGTCTGACTCAGTAGAAATGGGAGTCACTCAGTCAGATTTCTGGGACGCACATTGGCTTTGTTGTTGTCGTTCAGTCATTTCAGTTATGTCAGACTCTCTGTGACTCCATTTGGGGTTTTCTTGGCAAAGATACTGGAGAAGTTTTCCATTTCCTTCTCCAGCTCATTTTATACATGAGGAAACTGAGGAAAACAGAGTTAAGTGACTTGCCCAGGTTCACATAGCTAGGAAGTGTCTGAGGCCAAATAAGAATTCAGGAAGATGAATCTTTCCGACTCCAGGCCCAGCATTCTATGCACTATGGTGCTACTTAGCTATTCTATAACCCAGATGGTTTAGAAAACCACATGTTGGCATTATTAATATTTGATTGTGTTTTTATGTGTTTTGTTAAATATTTCTCAATTACATTTTAATCTGCTTGTAAGGCACTTGGGAATGTTGGGGGCCACAGTGTAGCCGTGTTTGATGTTTCCAATCAGCCTCCTAGCTGGTCTCCTATTAGCTACTCTCTCCCTTCTTCAACCCTTCTTTCATACAAATGCCACAACTGCCCATATGATTTTCCTAAAGCATAGACCTGATGATGTGACTTCCTTACTGGAAACCTCCAGTGATTCCTCATTGCCTCTAAGATGAAAGAGAAACTCCTTTCAGCATTTCCAGGCTTATTTTTACAGTGAATCAGTTTTAATAAAAATGCACTTAATAGGAAAAATCAACATATAATAGAGAAAGAGAATGTCCTTCACAAAGTTAGGCTTATGTTAGTCTTGATAAACCAGGTTGACTTTAGGCCCCCATTTCTTGATATTCCTTGTTCCTTCAAGTACTGCCTGAAGGTCAAACATAATCTCTCACTGTCAGGGATCTCTAGGCTTAGGAGGAGATGAATGTCCTGCTTTTGAATAGGAATCGAGGTATCTGAGTTGAAAGGAACTCTAGGGAAACTGAGGCCCAGAAAGTTGAAATGACTGACCCAATGTAGGAGGTAGTTGAGACAGTATATGAAACCTCTGATTCCAAATCCAGTTTGTCTACCATTATACTAGAATGGATTCTGGGTAGGAGGTAGCCAGATCCACTTACATCTTATGATTGTGAAGGAATGTGATCTGATGATAGGGGATACTGGAAAGCCGACGAGGAAACTGCCTTTAGTTTCTGTTTCAATTCAACAAATATTTAGCAAGTGCTCTTAGTAAGTATAACAATAACAACAATAATAATATCAATCATTTATATGTTAATTTAAGATTTATAAAGGACTTTAAAAACATTTTCTCATTTAAACCTTACAACCAGCTCCCTGAAGTAAATGCTATTATTTATTCCATTTCACATATGAAGAAACTGAGTCTAGGGGAGACTATATGACTTGTCCAGGGTCACACAGCTAATAAATGATTGAGACAGTATTCAGACTTAAGTCTACCTGACTCCAAGCCCACTTTGCCATTTAGCTAGCTTCTGTGTTCCAAGTGCTAGGGATACAAAAGCAAAAAAAAAAAAAAGTCCCTGCCTTCAAGGACTTTGCAATCTCCTGGGGGTATGGAGAAGTCCATGAAAAAATATAAATATGCATATAGATATGGATAGATAGATTTGTATGTAAATATAGATGCATATATATATATACACACACACATATGCACACAAATGTATGCATACACATACTTTACATACACATATACAATGTACCATAGTATATAGTATAGTATATACTTTATATAGTATATATACACAGATTATATGTTTATTTATTTAAATGTATATATGTACATGTGCATGTATATATGTATACACACATACATATGTGTGCATATATGTATGTATGTATGTGTGTATGTATGTGTGTGTATATACATATATACACACACATATATATATACATACATACACACACACACACACACACACACACACATATATATATATATATATATATAATATATATATATATATATGCACACACACACATATGTCTCTGAAATTCATTATAGTTTTAGCCTGTTATAAGAGGTGGCACTGGAGAGCTAATTCTCGAAGGTAAGCCAGTAGTTCCAAGAGGCAGAGCGGTGATGAAGGAGAACTTTCTGACATGAGATACAGCCTCCAAAGGCACAAGTTACAGATGAAATGACATGTGTGTGTTGTAACAAGTGAGCCAGTCTGGTTGGAACACAGAATCACCCTGGAAAAGGAGATCAAAGTCATATTGCAAAAGTCTTTGAATGGCAATGCATTTCATCCTAGAGGCATTTGGAAGCCGCTGAAGCTTTTTGAGAGGAGAAGTGACCTTGTCAGGCAATATGCTTTATACATATGAGTTTGGTAGCTGTGCGGAGGGTGAATTGAAGAAAGGAGACATGAATGCAGAGAGACCAAGTGAGTAGCTATTATTATAGTCTAGACAAGAGATGATGGGGGTCTGAACTCCTTTGACTCTGAGAGAGGAACTATTTAGACAGTATCACTAGAAGTCTTAAAAGGAAAGAACCAAAGATGGTGCTCTTTCCAAAGGAAGTGTAGAATGTTAATATGCCAGTGATTTGCTGAAGAGAAGGCAACATGCTAAGGGGGCTGGTGGCAGCAACCTTCATCAGCAAAAAGGAGGAATTCATTACTCTGTGGAGGAAAGCCATTTCCTTGCTAGGGCCAGAGCAAATTCCAGATTAAAACTGGTTATGGGTATTACTGTAGACAGGGATTGGAAGGAGAACAAGAGGCAGCTTCCATCCTTTTTTGAGAAAGCAATGAGCCGAGATAAGACAGGAGTTAGCGTGGCAAGATTTTTTTTTCTTCTTAAAAAGTTTAAAAGAAAAAAAAATAGCAGGAGGCAGGTTGAGGATCTGGGTCAAGGGAAAAAGTGAATGATGGAAAACATGACAGATACTTTACTGGCAGAGGAGAAGTCATCTCTGAGCATGCCATCCAAGGGAAATCTTGAAGAAAATTAAAGTGCTTGAGATATGAATTGCTTCTTCGGCATGAAGATTGCCTTGTATTAATTATATTGTATTTGTTATTTATATATTGATAACTATATTTCAATATTGGATGGTGCAGTGGATAGAACACTGAGCTTGGAATCAGAAAGACCTGAATTTGGATCTATCCTCAAATACTTACTATCTGTGTGACCCTGGACAAGTCACTTAACCCTATTTGCCTCAGTTTCCTCATCTGTAAAACGAGCTGAAGAAGGAAATTGCAAATCACTTCAGCACCTTTGTCAAGAAAACACCGAATGGGGTCACACAGTGTCAGACACAGCTGAAATGACTGAACAACAAATATTTCACTATAGTCTGTTTCTTTTGTAATACTACATGTTTTATTTATGCCTTTTCAAACTTCATTTTGAATAGGAGTTCGTAGGCATTACCAACTGCCAAAGAGTTCCATGACCCAAAAAAGATAAAACCCCCTGACCTGAACTAATGGGGATCTCCAATCTGTTCTTTGTCCATACATTTGATAATTCAGAAATCAAAGAGATATTTTGTCCCAAAATCCTCTCATCATTTCATCCCACCAAAACTGTGCCACATGGCTTAGATGCCAACTGTGAGTCCCCAAATATTTCTGGTGCCTTCTACCTTACAGCCTGAAATAATAACCAGCTTCTTTCTTTTTCAGACAGGAAGCCCTGCTGGCTGCTATCAGTGAAAAGGATGCCAATATAGCCTTGCTTGAACTGTCTGCTTCCAAGAAGAAGAAGACACAAGAGGAAGTCATGACCCTGAAACGTGAAAAAGACCGATTGGTGCATCAGTTGAAGCAGCAGGTGGGCTCACATGCATGCACACACTTTCTTTCCTTGCCGAAGTCTGGGACCTTATTTGAGGCTCCATGTCTTAGCTGTCTGTCCTTGCTCAGTTTTCATCACATAGACATCAGCAGCTAAGACAAGGTAGGCTGATGGTGATGACTCAGCTGTCACTCTCCCAGCACCCTGTGGCTTCTCCATGCCCCTATCCATGCATGCCAGCTTGTGTGTGGCCCATGCTCTGGGTTTCCAGCCTTTCATTATTGCTTCTTTTCCTCACTATGTCATTCTCACCTTTTTTCCTCCCATTCCTCCCATAATGATGTACTCTAATTATATTTTGTGAATCTTCTGTTACCTACTATCTGTGTGACCTTGGGCAAATAACCTAGCCACGCTAGGCCTCAGTTTCTTCATCTGTAAAATGACTGGGGTAGATAGAAGGTCTTTAAGGTCCTTTCCAGCTCTAAATCCATAGATCACCTTTTATATTACGTGTGATTCTCCTCCCACAGAAGCAGCCCCCTTTATTCTGTTGTCTCCTCTCTGCTACCCTCAAATTCCCTTGTTTGCTTTTCCTCCTTGAAAATTCTATCCTTTAGCTTTCCTCCTCTCCCCTCTGATCTCTATTCTCTGACCTCTTTCTCCCCATTATTCCTCACCATGGTGTGGTTTGATGTCTAGTCCTTAGAAGCTTCAGCACCATGGAGAGTGCCTTGACATCCCCCTTGCCTCCTTGAACTTTGAGAAATCACCTCCCTTGCTCCCCAGAATCTAGGTGATCGGTGTCTTTTGCTAACACCTTTTGGTCTTGCTGCTCTTTCCTCCAACTTCTCCTGAATGTCTGTCCCTGTGTGTTGAGATAGACCACCACTTGCTCGCAAAGTCCTTTGCTTTCTGCCAGATGCTTTGCAATGGGTTTACCTGGCAATTGGAGACCAAGGTGTCCCAAAATTAACCCTTGAAATATTCTGAAGTATATTCTGAAGTTATTTATCTTTCATAAATAACTTGAGGCCTTTTGCATGCAGTGGTTCATGAGACCACCCCCAGCCCCAGGCTTCTCTCTTTATTCTAAGATCTATTTTTGTGTCTTCTTCATGGCCTTGACCTCATGAAAAGGCTTGCCACTTATGAAGGTCAAAATTTTGAAGTGGCCTGTACGTGATTTAACTCTCTGTTGCCACACAGACTCTATCTACTCTGAGGTGAGTCCTGGGGATGGCTGTCTGGTCCCAACCAGGGTGACTTTAGTCAAGAAAAGCATGTCTACGTTGGGTAGCAGGGAAGCTAGAGACCAAGAATCCTCAGAGAGTGCTCCATACTTTTCTTTTTTTCAGGGTATCTTCAGGCCCTGAATCTGAGTATCCTTTTTTTGCCTGGCTGAGCCTTGGCCTTCTAGCTCTTCAGAGAAATCCATTTGCTGTCCAACATTGGGGGTCATTTTGCAGGCTGGCATGGGATTTGGGTGGGGAGGTGTCATACATTATAATTCTTTATTTGGAGCTGTGCATCCTATAACTGAGATTTGCAATCACTCAGCAACAGAAAGTTAAGAAAAAGCCTTTCCTTCCCTCCTTTCCTCTAGGTCTTCCCCCATGCCCTCTCTCATCTCACTTCCTACACCTAACCATTGTAGCTTTCTCCTACAGGTTTATAGATATAAGAAACATCCCCAGAGCATGAACATACCATCCACCTGTGATGTTGGCTTCATCACAGACATTGCTGCCACCTACCTCGGCTCCAGCCATGATGCACACATGATCCCAAAGTCTCAGGTCAGTCAGCTGTGTAGGAAGCCTTTCCTGTCCTCCCAGCCATGGTATACATCAATGCCAAGACTATGCGTTGACCCCTTGGCTACGTTGCTCTCCTCCTGTATGCATGCCTTGGCTGAAATCATACAGCTGAGCTGCAAAGCATTGTGGGCAGTTCTTGACCAGGCAATAGTGACTTTTTTTTTCTTTCAAGATTCTTGAATAATTCTCTCACTACCCATCTTAACTCTCCCTTAGTCTTGGAGCCGTAAGGTGATTTTAGAAGAAAATAAAAGGAAACAGAGAAAAACGAGCCATAAACAAACAATAGGAGGGCAAAACAGTGTATTTTTCAAGTCTTTTTTTTTTGATCTTGGAAATGTGTTCCGGATTCCTGGAATGATTGAGCAGAGCCCTTCAACTTGCTCCTAGGGGAATGTACAAAGTGTTCCTTATTTGCAACAGGCTTGATTTTATGGGACTTGGAATGTGTTTGAAAAATGGTCAGCCCGGGTAGAGAAATGCCACGTGTGAGCAGATTTTGGGGAGCCGTAGCAACAGGAGAAGGAGCAGAGGCAGGTGGCCTCAAGGAGCCCTTAGCCATTCGATTGGGGAGGGAGCAAAGTGTTAGCCCTAGGAAGACCACCCCCCATTGGGGCAGTGTGGCATCCTTGATAGAGGGGCCCATGTCTTTGATCAACTGCTTGAGTCAGAAATAAGCCATATATGGATAGTCTTGTCCAGATAAATTAACAAGGGGATGTGGCTCGGAGCAATGGAAGACTACCAACTGAGCAAGAAATCAAGCTAGTGCTAATGATAATAATAACAGCTGGTATTGGTATGACATTTTAAGGTCTACAAAATACTTTACATATTTTAGCAATGGATATAAAGGAAGACCTGAGTCTGAATCCTGCCTTCCACCCTTACTTGCTGTGTGATTCTGGGTAAGTCACTTAACCTCTTGTCTTCCTCAGTTTCCTCATCAGTAAAATGGGGATAAAAATAGCACCTGCCTCCCAGAATTATTGTGACACTAAAATGAGACAATATTTGTAGACCCCCAGTTTGTAAACTTTAAAGTTTTAAATTTAGCTTTAAAGTACTATATAAATGCTAGTTGTTATTATTAATCATCTTTAGTATTATTATTATCATCACTTATTATTTGATCCGACTGTGTGCTAGGCACTGTGGGTAAAACTACAAAGAATGAAATCATCCTTCTTCATAAGGAGCTTATATTCTGATTGTGGAGACAAGTCCACACACACACACACACACACACACATACACACACGTATGTATGTGTGTGTGTGTGTGTGTGTGTGTGTGTGTATGTATGTGTATATATGGAGTGATAATAAGTAGAATGTCATTTGGAAGGAAGGAGACCAGCAGTTGGGGGAATCCTGGAAGCTCAGTATCAAAGATTGTTCTCTTGATGTCTTGAGGGAGATGAAAGTTTCTGTGATGCAGAGATGAGGAGTGAGTGTGTTCTAAGTCTGGAGGCTGACCAGCATACAGACATGGAGCTACAGAGTTGGAGGTGAGGGACAGAGAGAAGTTTAGTTTGGCCTGGCTGTAAACTATGAGAAGGGCAGTAATGTGTGTTGAGAATGGAAAAATAGTTTGGGAACAGGGTGTATAGGACGTTAAAAGCTAAATCAAGAAGCTTACATTTCATTTTCTGCCAAGACATTCTAGGTATGTTTGGAGTTATTTGGAAGGGTGACAATCGATAGAGTATTCAGCTGGGAGTGAAGAAGACCTGCCTTAAACTCCTGCCTTGGACATTTTGTAGCTGTGTGACCCTGAGCAAATAACTTAATCATTGTCTTCCTCAGTTTCCTAAACTATAAAGTGGGAATATAATAGCTTGTATTTCAAAGGATTGTTGTGACAATCAAATGAGATATTCATAGAAGTGCTTTTTACAATGTCTGGCATGTACTAGACATTTAATAAGTTCTTTCCTCCCCCCACCTCCCTCAGTTTTCCCGAGCCTCAATTTCCTCATTTATAAAATACTGGTAACAATAGCACTATCCTCTAAGGGTTGTTGTGAGGCTCTAGTGAGATAATATATGAAAAGTGCTTTCAGATCATGAAAATGTCAGAGAAATGCCAGAATCACCATCTTTCTCATGCTTGTTATGTTACTAAAAAGATCTTTATGTCAATTCTTATTCCTAATTCTTCATAACAGTCTGCAAAGGTGCTTTCTTCTCCAATCAAATGCTCAGCAAGCCACATGGCCTCTGGGCAGACAACAGAGTGGCAGACATGCTCCATGTGCCAGTTACCAGGTCCCATGACTTACACCCAAAAAGTGAAAGACCTAGAGGCTATTTTGAAGTTACTGGATTACTGAAGGTCACAGCTGAAAGGGACCTCTCATAGTCCAACTGAGGCCTACCCAAGGTTCCACCCTATAATATCACAAACAGAGTTTTACCCAATCTTCTTCTAAAGACCTCTAGTAAAGGGCACCCAATTACTTCCTTAATTCCACTTGAGAATAGTTTAATTGCTACGATGTTTTTCTTTTTTTTAACTTTTATTTTCTTTTACTTTTTTCAATTAACAAGCATTTATTTTCTCTGCCTCCAACCTCCTCACTTCCTAATTGTAAAAAACAAAAGAAATCCTTGGAACAAATATTCAAAATCAAGGAAAAGAAATTCCCAAATTTGCCCCTCCCACACACATATGCATGTGTGTGTATGTATGTATGTATGTATGTATGTATATGTATGTGTGTGTATTCATGTATGTGTTTATACATACTCTGGATCAGGAAGTAACAGACTTCATCATTGGTCCTTTGGAATCATAGATTGAACATTGAACAGAGTTCTGAAATCTTTCAAAACCATTCATTCTTACAATGTTGTGATAGAATAAACTGTTCTGGTTCTGTTCACTTTCCCCTGCATCAGTTCATACAAGTCTTCTTAGACTTCTCTGGTAACATCCCTTTTATCCTAGATCTCTGTAACAGTTGCTCATTGCTCCAAGTGATACCCTTTGGGGACAAACACAAATACTCCAATCCTTCTTTGCACAGTGGCCCCTCAGATCTTAAAGAAAGGCAGCATTAGTTTCCCCCCCAAGTTTATTCTTCTCCTGATCAAATATCCCCAATTCCTTTCACTAGTCCTGATGGGACATGAGCCCAGGCTCCCACACCATCCTGGTGACCCATTCTAAGCTCACTGGACAGTATTTGGTGGCTCTACTTTCTCACTCCTT